CCTGGCTGGAGGTGAGCGCCTGCCTGCAGAGAACGCCTTCGCTTTGATCCCCAGCTCTGGCTCAGGAGCTGCCCGCCATCCATCCCTCCTCTGCGGGCCCGAGGGCTTCTGCTGGGGCCCATGGCAAAGCTTCGCCCGCCCGTCACCAGGGACCCTGGGGAATTGCACAGGCAGAAGCGAGGCTGTCAGGGCCTCCGGCATCCCCCGGACAGCTCTGCTGCCGGCCCAGACTCAGGCCTGGTCTCAGCACTGCTGGCTGAGCCTGGTGGGGTGTCCCCACCCTCTGACCTTGGCACCGAAGCAGGAGCACATGGCTCGGCGCTGCCCACTCGGGGTCCAGTCCTTGGCGCAGTCCTAACCTCCCGGGTGACCAGCGTCCTTGGACACTGGTCAGACTCGTGTGTCGGGCCGCAGGGCTCAGCCTCAGTTGCTCTCCGCTTCTGGGTCCCAGCCCCTTGAGAGGTGGCCTGGCCCCCACTCTTGCCCTGTGGGTGGCTTTAGGCCCTTTAGCTTTGCCTTTTTTGGGTGGCAGTAAGTGTAAGGTTGGTGACATTCAATACTCAAAACACCTCAAAGTGTGAAAACCAAACCTGGAAGGCAGAGGGGTCCAGGGGCTGCCCACCCACTGCCCCCGCACCAGGCGTCCTTCTTCTGGAACTCAGGTCCCCGTTGGCGAGTCGCTGTGCCCCTCATGCGTGTCTCCCCACAGGCCTAGGATCTGGTATGCTGCTGGGACGTCATTCGTTCCTTAAGCATCGTGACCTCACACGTCCGTGTGCCCGGCTCCAGGGGGCCGAGGCCTGGCCCTTGTCTCTCTGTTGCTTTGTTTTCTCACCCACACCGCTTTGGCTTGCACGTGACAGGCTTTGCAAAAGGCGGGCGGTGCCTGGGCTTATTTCTCGGCCTCCTGGCACCCACGTGTGGCTCTCACAGCCTGCGGGGCCCTCTGCGGCCAGTGCCGGGCACCAGGAGAGGTTGCCAGGTAGACGGCCGCAGAGCCCGGGCTGGAGACGCAGAGCCGAGTTGGTATGACTTCGTGGGTTAGTGTCTTCCAGAAGGATGTGTGTAGAGCATTCCAGAACAGAGAGAGTGGGTGCGGGGGTCAGACAGGCCGGGGTCTGAGGGCCAGGAGAGGGAGAACCCTCGGGGTGCTGTGGATGGAGGAGCAGAGGAGGGGCGATGCCTGGGACCTGGGTCCCGAGTCCTCAGAATGGCACCTCGTAATTGTATTCACCCCGATTTAGAACCACATTCCTCCAGGCAAGGCCAGGGACCTGCGGCGGGGGCACCTGAGGGACCTGTACAGGCCGCCCTGCCCTCCCTCCTGAAGGCTCGCCTGGCAGCCTCTTCAACTTCACTGCCTTCCGCCCCCGCCCAGATGCACCCCTGGGTGTCCGCCCTGTGCTGGGAGAGCTGAGCTTGCTGGAAGCATCCTTGTTGCACTGAGCTGTGGCTCCCCACCCCCTTAACGTTTCCGATTCTGTCCTCGGAAGCCCTGGGACCTGTTCTGCCTCCCACAGCCCCACGAGGTTCCAGGCCTCGCTCTTCCTAGTTCCTTTGTCCTGACCTCTCCAGATCTCTCCAGCAATCCCTGTGAGCTGGGCCACAGACCCTCGGCATCCTGGCTTAGGGAGAGCTGATGGCTGCAGAGAGTACGCCACACACAGCCCCAGTCCCGGGGACGAGCTCCGAAGATGCCAAGAGGGAGGGACACATGCACTGACCTGGCCTCCAGGGCTCTAGAGGGTGAGAGGCGGCCAGCCCTTGCGGGACAGAGAGGCTGGTGTGGGGGAGGGAGGGGTGCCCGGGGTTGTGGGCAGAGCCCATGCAGGACATAGAGCCGGCAGCATCTCAGAGCCGGACAGAGGCAGGAGGCTGGGAGCAGGCCCACCTGGGGCTAGTGGTGCCCGCACGGGCGGTGGAGGGCCTGGGCAGCCGTCTGTCCAGAAAGTGCAAGAGCCCTGTGCCACCCAGGCAGACAGGGCTGCAGTGTCTAGAAGGAGACCTCCTGGGGTCGCAGGCAGGCAAAGCTGATTGATTTTGGTCGTGAAGTTTGACCTTGTGATGGGGACCGAGCTCCCAGGGAGCGAGACAAACTGCCTCCCCGTGCTGCTGGCCAATAAGCCGGGCTTGGTTTTATAGCCCCAAGAAATTGCTCACTAATAGCCAGACAGATGCTCCCCTGCCTCGAGCTTTAGTGAACAAACATTTCCACATTTCCAGCCCAAATAGCCGCTTTTCCTTTTTTTTTCCTCCAGAGCCAAGGCCAAGAGTCAGGGATGCCCCAGCATGGCCCCTAGCTGGGACTGTGAGGAAGGGGCTGTGCGTTCTGTGCTCTCTGGGGGCTCTGGGCCGAGGACCCTGCTGAGATGCCCTCTGGGGGCCCGAAGCCTCCCTGAGTCTCTTCTCCTGTGGCGACTGTAGGTCCCTGCGGTGCGTCTACTTCAACCCGCCAGCTCCGTGGCCTGCCCTCCAGTGCTGTCACCGCCCTGTCCTTTAAACTCAGCTTCCCAGACACCCAGAGTATCTTGGTGTAGGAAGCAGCCCGAGGCCACCTTCTAGCCCCCATCCTGGTGTTGCTTCCCCAAGTGGAACTGGGGTGCGCTTCCAGCCCTTGGTGGATGCAGCGTGGCCCCTCCAGCCGGCACCCAGCTCTGTGTTCTTAAAGCCCTGTCTGGCACTTTGTCTCGGATACTGAGGTTTTACTCCTGCCTGCGTCCCTGGGGGTGGCTGGGAGGCAGGTCTGCCGGCATCAGGTCTTCTGGTCCCCGAGGCCGTCGCAGGGTTGCTCCAGGAGGTGGGAGGTGCTGCCGGGTGCTGGCGGCGGCGGAGTCCAGAAGTCTCCCTGGCTGGCTGGCCTCCCATCCAAGAGTCCTCCCTGCTCTCTCTGGGGGCCGCTCCTCTGAACGCCGGGCCGGCGTCCTGCAGTCTGTGCTTTCTGATAACGCCGGAGCCGTGTTCCAATGTATTAAACTTTTAACATTTGCCAGATTCAATTAATCTTATCTTTACAACTCCCAATTACAGGCAGTAATTAAGTGGAGCAGCATTGTAGGCTGGGGATGCGGCATTAATCATTGCAGCCTTGGAGCCATAAATTAGTTCCTTCCCGTCCCGGCAGCTTCCCAGGAGCAGAGTGCTTCGCTCCCTGTGTGGAGGGGCCTTCATCCCCCAAAGGCGCTTGGGATTGGGATGAACTTTTCTCATCTTTATGTAAATGATGAAAGGCCATTTAAAAAAGAGGAACGCACCTCTGTCCAGACAATGGAAGACAATCTGAGGACGACAGAGTTGAAGGTGCTAGGGTCGCCTCTGCTGGGGACCCTGGGAGCATGCCCGGAAATTAATTATTTGTGTTCTATTGGATTAGAGGCTTTGTGATGTTCGCCTGGTGTCCAGCGCCTGTCCCCTCTTTACTTTTTATTTCTTTTTCAGACAGAGTCTCTCTCTGTCGCTCAGGCTGGAGTGCAGTGGCACGATCTTGGCTCCCTGCAGCCTCTGCCTCCCAGGTTCGAGTGAGTCCCCTGCCTCAGCCTCCTGAGTAGCTGGGACTACAGGCAGCCGCCACCATGGCTGCCTAGTTTCTGCATTTTTGGTAGAGGAGGGGTTTCACCGTGTTGGCCAGATTGGTCTTGAACTCCTGACCTCAGGTGCTCTGCCCACCTTGGCTTCCCAAAGTGCTGGGATTATAGGTGTGAGACACCCACCCCACCTGGCCTCTTTACTTCATTAAAAAACAGGCCGTGCACCGTGGCTCACACCTGTAGCCCCAGTCCTTTGGGAGGCCAAGGCAAGCAGATCATGAGGTCAAGAGATCAAGACCAGCCTGGCCAACATGGTGAAACCCCGTCTCTACTAAAAATACAAATATTAGCTAGGTGTGGTGGTGCGTGCGTGTATTCCCAGCTACTCTAGAGGCTGAGGCAGAATTGCTTGAACCCGGGAGGTGGAGGCTGCAATGAGCTGAGATTGCACCACTGCACTCCAGCCTGGAGACACAGCGAGACTCCATCACACACAAAAAAACCAAAGTCGCCTTTCATTTGGGAGGGGCTGCAGCGGAGCCGGGGCCGTCTCCCAGTCAGCTTTTCCTTGTCTTGCCTCTGACCTGGGAGGGTCTGGGGAAGAGACCAGGTCACGTGTCCTCTCATCTGTGTGACAGTTCTAGAACGGAAGCTGTTGGCCTGTCGAGCAGGGTTGGGGACGGGGCTTGACCACCCTCAGCTGTGTGTCCTCAAGTCCCCAAGGCCCTGTCCTAGTGGCCGTTGCTTGGAAATTGAGGTTTTCATTTTGCCGGAGGCCTTGGGAGTGGGCTGCGTGGTGTCCCCACTGGCATCGGGGCTTCTCGCTGTCCCCCCGAGGCTGTGGGTCCCGGGGCGCACCCACCCTGATGGGAAGACAGTCCCAGCGTCCGGGGTCTCCAGCTTCTGTGTATGGCATAAGCGGGGTGTCACCCCCACTTTGCTTCCTGTTCATCTTAACATTTCTTATTCACAATGGAGCCTTGGTGATCTTTCAGATGCAAACTGTGTAAAAATAAAACAAAGTCAGTGACAAAGGTAGCTTTTCTCATTCCCGAAGCTGCTTTTCCCTGTTGGCTCCCGGTACCGGGGAACGGTTGACGCGGGCCTGGAGACCTGGCTGACAGCTCCCGGGCCCCTCGCCACCCGCAATTCCAATCCAGTGCTTTCTTTTATTTTTTGCCTTTTCAGCCTCCTCCGGGTGGAGTGCCGCTTAACCAGGAGAATCTCCACTCCCGGCTTTCGGAGTGTGTCTCAAGCCAATGAGCGATGGTCCTCCCTCCCCACTCCTCCACCCGGCCCCCTCACTTCCTTATGGATTCCGTCCTGAAAGCCCTTGTCGCCAGCCATCCCCTCCGCACACCCTTGACCACGACTGCACTTCGCTTCTGCCCTGGGCACTGTCTGTGTCTCCCCAAGGCCAGCCCCACCCATGGCCACCACCGACCTTGCCTCTGACGTGCCTCCCTTCTCCTGCAGGTACGCCATCCCGCCAGAGCACGGCAAGCGCCTGGAGCGGCTGGCCATTGGTAGGTGACTGCCCCTCGGCCTGGGAACCTGGGACTGGGTGGGAGGGGCCTGTGGGCGGAGAGGAACAGCTGGCATCCCCTGGGCTCTGCTGCTGTTTGGGTGTGGGTTTGGGGGAGTGGTGACACGCTTTGAGCCATTACTGTGTGATTTTTCCATTTCTTTTCACCCTGGTGGTCAGACCCATGCCCTTCTGCAGCGAGGTGTGTCCTTTGCGAAATCTGCACACAGTGCCCTGACACTCCTGTTTTCCAGTTCTCTTAGTGCAAACTTCTCGGACCTGGCCAAAGGCAGCCGGGGCCCGGGGAGGGCAGCCTGTGTTCATTTTCCTCCCATCGCCCAGCCCCACACCGGGCCCTTGCTAATTCTGAGAACGTCCAGAAAAGGATGCAGTGCAGCCAGCAGTCTGCTCACCTGCGCAGGAGCCGGCGGAGGGGCCGCACGGTGTTTGCCCGTGTTCTGCTGGGACCTGGCCTGTGTGCCCTCAGCAAATGTCCTCACCAGTGGTGCCACCAGCCTGCGTTCACATGCTCCCTGGGGACTCTTGGGAAACGAGGGCTTTGTCATAGAGGCTCCTGGCATGTGCCTGAGGGAGGGCTGGAGCCTCAGGTCATGGGATACTTGGAAAGAAGCCAGACATCTGGAGACACCAGGCTGGGGCCACCCTCAGCACCCCGGAGCACCCAGCCCTGAGGCACCTGAGCAGGTGCAGTGAGCAGGGTCCCCGTGTCAGCCCCGGTGGCACAGCACCAAGAGGAATGTAGATTTCATGGCGCCCCACTGCTCACGAGTGCCTAGAAAATTGAGACACAACTGGCCGACACAGTTTCTGCCTCCCCCTGGTCCATTCCCAGCCACCCCAGAGCCAGCCCCTCCGAGCTGGCGGTTGGACAGCTTGGGGCGTGTGAGGGGTCAGGGTCTGAGCACCCTGCCCTTCAGGAACAGCGTTGGACAGCCACGCCTTTTCCAGGAGCCCTTGCCCAGCCTCGGTTCAAGCTCCCGGGACTGCCTGGCTGCTGTCCTTGGTCCCTTCCAAACCTTCGAGCCAAAGAACGCCCACCACATGATTTCTTCCCCCTTCCTGTGGGCTTTTGGCTTTGGGGATGGGAACTGTGCGTCTTTCTGGGAGAATAAGGCTCTCCTGTTCCAGGGACTGCACCAGGAGCCACATGGCTGTGCAGGAAATGTTGCCTGAGCACTGTGGCTTCGGTGGTGGGGACAGAGGGGAAGATGAGTTCGTGGGCCGTGAGCAGGGCCCTCTCCGGGCTCCGGACCGATGGCTTTGCTCTTGGTATTTTTGATTGTTTCTGTGGGAAACCTGGGCCCTGTTCTTATGCACAAATAAGCCCTGGTATAGGAGCACGCTTTTCATGGTAGAAATTTGCGATTACAGACAGGCTGTGGCAAAGGTCCAGCTCACTTACACACCGAAGCTGTGAAAGAGAAGCCAGATTAAAGCCTTTCTCCTGTTGTCATTGTTAATGCTGATTTCCAAAACAAATTTGAAGACATCGGCTAAAGAAACAATCCCCCACATTGTGTTAGCCTCCTGCGGCTCCTGTAACAAATGACCACAGAATCAGTGGCTGAAAACAACCACACTTATCCTCTTACAGCTGTAGAGGTCAGGGGTCTAAAATGTACACGGAGAGGCTAAAAGTCAGGTGCGGGCAGGGCTGGTTCCGTCTGGAGGCCCAGGGAAGAATCTGTTTACGCCTTTGCCAGCATAGAGGCTGCCCGCATCCCTTGGCTTGGGGCTGCATCACCCTGCCTCTATCTCTGTGGTCTCCTCACTTGCCTCTGCTCTGACCAAATGTCCCTCTGCCTCCCTGTTATGAGGACCCCCGTGGATAGCCCTGGGTGCTCTCCCACCTCAAGAAGCTTCACTCAGTCCCATCTGCAAAGGCCCTTTCACCATGGAAGGTGCCACACTCACAGGTCCCAGGGTTTAGCACCTGGACGCCTTGGAGGTCCGTCATTCAGCCAGTCACGCTTAGGAAGCCACAGAAGAAAGCCTCACTGAGCCGTCAGCTCGGGTGCTCTCTGGTATCCGGATCAAGAGGGCCACCCCATCCTTGCCAGCCACTTCTCCCCCTCCCTGTTAAACGGAGACTACACTTAGCCACTCTCCGTGCCTTCTCACCCAATGTCCCAACCGTTTTCTCTTGCATTAGAAAAGCAGGGCTTAACAAGAGCCCTCTGGAGAGGCCGCAGGCAGCGTCCGGCAGTGCCACTGCTGCCCCCCGGCACTGCCACATCCTCTCTCCCTAGAATGTGACTGGTTCTTATCTGGGGCTGGGCAGGGACCTGGAGGGCCGGTTCGCTTTTTCAGTATGCAGAGGGCCTAGTGCCTGGGCTGGTGGGGGAGCCAGTGAGGATGTCGGTGTGCAGAGGGCCCAGTGCCTGGGCTGGTGGGGGAGCCAGTGAGGATGTCGGTGTGCNGGGGGAGCCAGTGAGGATGTCAGTGTGCAGACGGCCCAGTGCCTGGGCTGCGGGGGAGCCAGTGAGGATCTCGGTGTGCAGAGGGCCCAGTACCTGGGCTTTCATGGGGGGAGCCAGTGAGGATCTCAGTGTGCAGAGGGCCCAGTGCCAGGGCTGGGGGGGAGCCAGTGAGGATGTTGGTGTGCAGAGGGCCCAGTGCCAGGGTGGGGGGGGAGCCAGTGAGGATGTCGGTGTGCAGAGGGCCCGTGCCAGGGCTGGGGGGGAGCCAGTGAGGATCTCGGTGTGCAGAGGGCCCAGTGCCAGGGCTGGGGGGGAGGCAGTGAGGATCTTGGTGTGCAGAGGGCCCACTGCCAGGGCTGGGGGGGAGCCAGTG